TCTGCCTCTGTCTCTCTGTCTATCTCTCTGTCTCTGTCTCTGTCTGTCTCTGTCTGTCTCTCTGTCTGTCTGTGTCTGTCTCTGTCTCTCTGTCTCTCTCTCTCTCTGCTGTTATTCCCTCCCACTGCCTGACTTCCTGAAAGCAGTTTCCCGACGTGTAAAATGAGGGGGCTGAAGTAAATGATCTCTGTTGTTCCTTCTAGCTCTAGAATCCCATGTTTCCAAGGCACTGAGAACAAAGTGATGAATTTAGAGAATAGTGTGATATTGGACACTTACTCTTGTCAAAGAAGTGTTTAACTGTGGAAGCTTTTATAACGGTGCTGATTTGAGAGCAGATGGTTGGAGAGATATCTCAATAGTTCCAAGCAGTAAGGCTTGCACTATTATTTCTAGGTGTTAGAAATCATAAAACCAAATTCTGCATGTAAACCAAAAACTCTCCAAAGTTTATTAGTATCTTGAGGATTGCATGAAGAAGTAGAGTTCATGAATGAAGCTACAGATCATTATAGATGGGCTTGAGCAATTTACAGTTAAACCTGAACAAATATACAGTTATACTAGTAATACCGGACTCAATTCCACTGGACTTGTTTTTTAAATCTATCTTATACATTTAGAGGCATACAGAATGTACATTATATGATTTATTGAGCATACTACTGTATTGCTTTACAAATATATTTTTATTTCCTACATATAGCGCTGGAATGTTTTTAATACAGCAAAATGTGAACAGTAACATGGATATTTTTCCTTTTCTTCTACATTTTGAGGGATATCTATTTGCAGGGTGGGTTTGTAAATAAATTGCCTTGTTCAAATGTATTTCTGGCCAGGAGACAATGATTTCCTAAAAATCTTTGTACAAGTCCTAGCAGGCAGAATTGTCTCAACACTTAATATCTTCTCTAGACAGAAGAAATATCTTAAATAGTTTTCTTCTAAAGCAACCAATTAAACCCACAACTGTTCATGCAATGAAAAATGAATTTCTAATGAAGGTGACAGTGCAAAATAATACATGTATGCATAGTATGTTCTAATTATAGTACTACTCAGTTGGGTGCAACATCTGTCAGAGTGGAAAACAAAAACAGCAATATTAGTAAGGGGTCTGAGTTAATGGGAAAGAAGTAAAGAGAAGTGAGGCAGTGATCATTCACCAGATTCCAAAGGAATGATTCTTATAGCATATACTATAGTATAGTGATATAGGGTAACCAACCAACTGCATAAACTGGTTCATAAATATACCTGCAGAAGAACTGGCTGAGGAGACCCTGAATTTAGAAGTAGCTTTTGGTACAACAGTCAGTTAGACACAGTTTGTTTTTCAGGGCTCTCTTTCAATGCTTCCCTCAAAGCATATCTTTATTGTGTTTCTCCCCACTCACCCCAACTGACCTACTGGTCAACTTTAGGGATAACCTATGATTGCCCAGGATCCCAAAGTCAGGTGTGCTTTCTTGGGTAATACTCTGTGAGATAGAGGTTCTCTCTCTGCAACCTCCCCCATGCCCGTGAATGCCAACTAAAACCTGCTTTCAGCTAGCAGGTAAATAGAGAGTCCCACAAATTAATTCAGAATGTTCATTTCTATTTAAAAAATTTATTAAATGTCTATATATACTAATGCAGTATGCTAACCACTGGAGATAGACAAAACTGAAACAGTCCCTGCCCTCATAGAGCTTATAGGGGCTTGGGTGTGTGGGTGGATGTAACATGAAGTAATTTTGATGAGACAGAGAGAGCCCTAAACAATAAGAGATTGGGGTGAGGGAAGTCTTTATTAGGAAGGTGGCACCTGAGAGGAACGACCACTAAAAGGTGTCAAGGATTCTCAGAAGTCAAGATGATGAGGTTGTGCATCACAGAATGTAGAAAATTCTTGTGCAGACGCATAGAAACAAGGAGTAGTGTCGGGGAACTGGGGAAATTGAGAAATTGGGGCAACATTTAGTAGTCCAGTTAGACTGGAACATAGAGCTAGTGAAGGGAAGAAGTAATATGGAATAAGTCTGAAAAGAGTTGGGAGACAAATTATGGAGAGCTTTAAACCATCAGACTAATGCATTTGTATTTTATCCTAGAAGCAATGGGGAGTCACAGAAGGTTTATGAGGAGGGAAGGAATATGGTCAAGACTGTGCCTCAAAAAGATTATTTTAGAAGCTGGGTGGAGGATGAGTTAAAGGTGGGAGAGAGGGAAGCAGGGAGACTAGTAAAGGCTCTTGTAATAGTCCAGGTGAGAAATGAAATGTCCTGAATTAAGGTAATGATTATGTGAAGAGGGGACCGATACAACAGACATTGTGGAAAGAGACTTGACAAGACATCAACTGATTGGATAAGGAAGTGAAGAAGAGAGGAGTCAAGGATAACTTTGAGGTTACAAACAAGAGAACTGGGAGGATAATGTCAAAAATAACTGACATACACTATTGATTAGAGAAATGAAAATTAAAACAACTCTGAGGTACCACCTATCAGATTGGCTAATAAGACAAAAAAAAAAAGGAAAGTGATGGATGTTAGAGGGGATGTGGGAAAACTGGGACACTAAGGCACTATTGGTAGAGTTGTGAACTGATCCAATCATTCTGGAGAGCAATTTGGAACTATGGCCAAAGGGCTATAAAACTGTGCATACCCTTTGATCCAACAATACCACTGCTAGGTCTATATCCCAAAAATATGAAAAGGGGTAAAAGACCTATATGTACAAAATATTTATAGCAGCTCTTTTTGTGGTGGCTAAGAATTGGACATCAAAGGGATGCCCATAAGTTGGCGAATGGCAAAACAAAGCTGTGGTATATGATTGTAGTGGAATACTATTGTGCTATAAGAAATGACAGGCAGGATCATTTCAGAAAAACCTGGAAAGACTTAGATGAACTGATGCAAAGTGAAGTGAACAGAACAAGGGGAATGTTATACACAGTAACAGCAATATTGCTCAGTGAAGAACTGTGAATGACTTAGCTATTCTTAGCAATACAATGATGCAAGAAAATCCCAAAGGACTAATTATGAAGCATACTATCCACCTATCGAGAAAGAACTGATATTATTTGAATGTAGACTGAAGCATGCTATTTTTCACTTTCTTCCATTAGTTTTTGTTTATTCGAGTCTTCTTGTATATGATTTTTTATATGATTACCCATGTATAACCTTTTTTTACATGATTGCACATGTATAACCTATATGTGATTGCTTACCATTTCAGGGAGAAGGCAGAGGAGGAAGGGAGGGAAGGAAGGATAGAATTGGAACTCAAAACTTAAAAAAAACCCAAATGTTAAAAAATTATTTTAACATGTAATTGTGGGGGAATAAAATATATTTAAAAATAAAATTATTTTTCTTTCTGAGGCAGAAATAGAAATTTAACAGAAAATAATATGCTTTAACAGAAATAACATGCTTTGGATACATGTTCTAAGAAATTCACATGATTCTATGATTTGTAATTAAACTAATCTTGAAGTGAAAAAAAATGTAAAATGTGGCATTTTTCATAGAGATAGTTTAAGCCCATCATGATTGTTGTTCTCATTCAGTCATTTTTCATTCATGTCCAACCCTTTATGACCCCATTTGGGGTTTTCTTGGCAAAGATACTAGAGTAGTTTGCCATTTCCTTTTCCAGCTCATTTTTACAGATGAGGAAACTGAGGCAAACCAAATTAAGTGAGTTGCTCAGGGTCACACAGCTATTAAGTGTCAAAGGCCATATTTGAACTCAGGTCTTCCTGACTCCAAGTCCAACATTCTATCCACTGTGCTACCTGTTCTCAAATTATCTTGTATCAACTTATCTGTCTACATGTTTTAGCCCAAAGTGAGACATAGGCTTCTTGAAGACAAAGACTTTGCTGTTGTTGTTTTAAGGTGCAATGCCTTAAAGACAGTAGGCATTTAATAAATATTTGTTGGAGTGGATTGTTGAATTGACAAAAAGAAGGAATTTGGGAAGCAGAGCTATCTAATAGGAAAAGTTTGTTTTGGGAATTGTTGAATTTGATGTGATTACACATCAAAGAGGGTACTCAATAAACAGTTTAAAAAGCTCACTGTAGAATGGAGCAGTACATTTCTTATTCCTATTTTGGCTCTTATATCCTACCAACTCAATGAGCATGAATAAGTTTTATAATTTCATAAATATCCATAAAGTATAATCTAATTTCCCCAAAGTTACAGTAATACAGATTTTCCTCCTGTGCCCTGTATGGTGGAGAAATGACTAATGGTTTATGATATTTCAGAATATCAGCTTTGTCTGAGGTAGATACTGGGGGGAAAAATAAAAAGTCTTCAAAGTTGTGGAATGAAGGTATCCTTTAGCTCTTTTCAAATATTTTAAAGATCTATTATCTATTATCTCTATATATTAACCACAAAAGACACTTGAAATGGCATGTAACAGGTCAGCTTAGGTGGCACAGTGGACAAAGCACCAACCCTGGATTCAGGAGGACCTGAGTTCAAATCTGACCTCAGACATGTAACACTTACTAGCTGTGTGACTCTGGGCAAGTCACTTAACCCCATTGCCTAACCAAAAAAAACAAAAACAAAAACAAAAGAAATGACATGTAACAATGGGCCTTTATGAGCAAGAGAACTAGAAATAGAATGAGTCTTATATCCACTGTTCTGCCTTCTAAGCAACACTTTTACTCAGCATGAGAAAATAAAATTTATTGAGTTAAAACTTTACTAAAATAGTCTGAGGTTTCTAAAACTCAAGTATAATCTCCTCTCTGGTTGGGAAATACCTAAACACAATGCAGTGTTCATGAGAGCCCTAAGTAACTATTGTCTGATGCTGACAAAGAAATCTCTTTCCTTTAAATGAAACTTGGCTGAATGGTGGAACACACACTATCATAATACCTATCATTGAGTGAAAATGCATTTGTGAGCAAATCTGGTCCTGCCTGGCAACCGTTTCTAGGCAAAAGGTGGCAGAGAGCCAGCTGCTGCTACCTCACAGTAGGCTTTCACCTTCAGCTGAACAACCCATGTAGGACTGATATCTTCCTTGGATTATTTGGATCCCATTATATAAGGTAAAATATCTTTTAACAGCTGTTAAGATACTAAATTCTTTACCTTTTATTGACTGACACAATAAAAAAAGAGAATTTTATTGCTTTTTGCTCCTAGCTATGAGTGTACTGTAACTATTTCTAACTGCATGAGATACAATGGCTTAATGTTTCAAAAATCTAACATGTATATCCCTGTCCTTCAAGACTAGAAGCACACTTTTAAAAAAAACACGTGTTCTAATACCCTAAGACCCAGTGATTACGAGATCATACCAGCAGAATAACACAATAGTACCTTTTAACTCATAACTTGAAAGTACAAGTTGTGCCCCCTTACATGACTATTCCTGACCTATTCCATTCCTCACTCTGCCTCTTCCCTTCTTTCAGCTTATATTTCCAATCTCCTGAGCCAGCTCTGCCCTTCAACCCCCTAACCCCCCACCGCACACACACACACACACACACACACACACACACACACACACACACACACACACACACACATATATATGAGTGCTGACAGTGGCCTAGTAAAAGCTGCCAGAGGAAAGAATATAGGAACTGTGCTAGAGGGAAAAGCAGAGAGGCCCTATTGTGAGTGTGGAGTCAGGGTTAGGCCAGGGTAAATGGCACTCAGGAACCTTGGTCAATGTGATGGACAATACCTCCTGATACCAGTTGGCATCAACCCCATTTTTTTCTCCTGAAAAAATAAAGCACTGTTTTTCTATGGTTATATCACATAAAATATTTGTGTGGGTATATGTAAATATATACACACATCCATTCATATAGAAAGAGTCAATGTAGTATAATAGATAGAGTGTTGGGCCTGAAGACTTAGGTTCAAATCCTACCTCTAACACTTCCTAGCGCTACATGTGACCTGAATAAGTCACAAGCTCTCCTTATGCCTCAGGCTACTCCCTAGGGGTTAACTACTAAGTCATAGACAGCTTAGTGAAAGAAATTGTCACACTGGTAGTTTCCTACACTGATGAAATCACAGATCCTTTGCATTTTCATATGTAAATATCAAACATGGTAAAGCGTGTGTGATTATATCATCCTTGAACACAGAGTCAAAAACCCGGGGACTTACCCAAAACTGACACCTAGTATATGGTTGTCAGCAAAATATACATGATCTACTCATACAAAATATATCTATAAATGTCTATGTGTATGACCGTGGGCAAATCACGATTTCCACAAGCAAATTAAGGTTCAGACACACATCTAAAATAATTGCTCTTTGCTGAAGCTTTTACAAATGTTTCTTATCAGAATTAGATGTTAAATCTTCAAAGAATAGTCATTCTATCCAGGTTTCAATATTTCCCATTTGCTTCCTTTGCAATGCACCTTTACTTTGTACTTTGTAAAGTTCAAAACTTTTAAACCATAATTTGGTCCACTTAAAAGAAGACTGGATTTTAATTTTGTGGAAGCTCTCTCATTCTCTGTAAAGTAGTAAGAACTTCTTAAGGCTAAAAACCATGCAGGTTATATTGTCATGTCATGCATGTGTATACTACATGTAGATACATGTATGGGCAGTATACACACTGGTCAAGATCTGAGAGTATGTTGTATTGTTATATTCTATGTAAATTGCTATTAAAATAAGTTTTATACTATGGATGGTAAGAGCACCATTTACTCATTGAAAATGTATAAGAACTGACTTTCTCTTACGCTGTTTATAGTTTACATTGAATTCAGAAACTTACTTTAAAATCTGCAAAAAAAAAGCATCACATTGAATTGTTGCTATTTTCATTGAAAATTTTCATTGTTGTTTATTTGATTCAGTTCCTCCTGACAGAAGCTTTTGATTTCTGAAGAGGACCAATGCCCTCGGTTCTATTGTTGTGGTGATTTTTGGTGAATAGATACCTACTCTTAGGACTTTGTTTATCCAGCTAGCATCACATAAAATAAAAGCACATGACCGATAGAGTGCTACCTTAGTTAAAAATCTCAGTCTAAGGGGAAAAAAAGGTTAATTCTCCAACTCAGAAACTTATATATGCTTATATATCAAAGAGAAAAAAAAGTCAAGAAGTCCAATAAAGTAAGAATGAATAAAAGTTTGAGATACAATAAATACTTCTGACTAGCCAGTGCTGGACATGTCTGAGATTCTGAACTTTCTAACACTTCAGCTGCCTTTGTCGCTAACAACAATTACATTCATATGCCACGAATTGTTTCTCTGTTTCCCAGCTGATGGGGACTAACATCCTTAGTTTCCAGGTCTTTGCCACTATAAAGAACTGATATATTTGTATATATGTGGGTCGTTTTCCTCTTTCTTTGAACTCTTTAAAAAAAAAACAAAACAAAAAACAGGCCATGTAGTGTTATCGCTGAGTTAAAGGGTATGTACAGTTTAATGCCTTTAGGGGCATAGTTCCAATTTGATTTCCAGAATCACTATGCAATTAAGTCATAGCTCCACCAACAGTGCATTAATGTTATGTTTTCCCACAGCCACTCCAACAATTGTAATTTTCCTTCTTTGTCATCTTTGTCAATCTTTATCAGAAAAACTTGCTACAAAGATTTTGTTCCCCAGTTAATTGTTTGCCTTCTAATTCTCACTGCGTTGGTTTTGCTTGAGTTTTTAAAATTCTTATGTAATCAAAATTTCTATTTTATCTTTTGTGATCTTATCTGTCTCTAGTTTGGCTATGAACTCTTCCCCATCCATGGCTGAGAAAGGTATTTTGTTTCTCATTCCTCTAATTTATGTAACTTAGATGGTGCAATGTATAGAGTGATAGGCCTGGAGTCAGAAAAACCTAAGTTCAAATCTAGACTCAGACACTTTATAACTGCGCTACCCTGGGCAAGTGACTTAGCTTCTTTTTGCCTCAGTTTTCTCAACTGTAAGATGGGGCTAATAACAGCACCTACCTCCCAGGATTGTCACGAGGATCAGCTGAGGTAATATTTGTAAGGTGCCTACTATGTGTTAAGTGTTATATAAATTGTTACATCAACGCTATCATTTTGTATCTAAGCCATCTATTGATGATCTAATGTCATGATAGAAATTAAACTGAGGCACAAGCTGTGAGCTCTGTTAATTTATTAACAAAGTATAAATTTGCCAGTAAGCAGGGTCTCAGCCTCCCAAGCAAGCTAAGACCTTGAATGAGGGCTGACAGGTCATTCTTATAGAAAAAAGGAGGAGCATACAAAAAACAGAAGGCATCATCATAAATGGGGAAGACAGTACAATTGGTTGCAAAGTCAGAAGCATCACAAGTGTGATGGAACAATATGATTAGTTGGAAATAGGGAATGCAGAGCCAGCAACAACCCCTCCTTCCATCTTGCTGCCTGGGAATTCTGATTGATTTAGTTCACCTGCAAGAATAATTAATAATATAATAGATAACAAATATCCTCTGTACAAGGTCAGCTAGTAGTCTAGAGATAACAGGTTGCTTTGAATTAAAGTGATTTAGAGGTGTAAAAAAGAAACTGAGAAGTCTTTCTTGGAAAAGAAACCAACTTTCATTAAGGGAAACAAAGGTTGTGGTCTATAGTCCACCCAGTATGGTGTGAGACCCTGAGATACAAGATTCACAGTTATTTATAGTTCTCTTGATTCACGCATGGTACAAATGGGCTAGTTATGTTGTAAATGGTCATTGCCCTTTTACTGAAGTGGGCTTTTGGCTCAAGCAGGGCCCTTTGACATTGTCAGTTCAGGGAAGCTCATTATGTTTTAATATAAAGATGATTAAATGATTACACACTTTATAATAATTATAGTTATATTCCTTAGGTCAACTAACACAGGAATTTCCCTAGGACTATATCATACTTTGGTTAGACACAGATTTTCCCTGGATCTATATTCTTCCTACAGATCACCCAGTTACTTCTTATTCTATAAAGATAATTACAACTGACAAATGACTATAAAGCAAAGCACTCAAAGCATTGATTAGTGATCTTTCCCATTTCATAGGGAAACTAAAATTTTAAACTTAACTCAGAGAAGAATGAACTTAGAAACCTATAAACTTCTGAACTTAATTCAGACAAAGCAACATGATTTAGCCAGTTAAATAAAATGTCAGCAATGACATCAAATAGAATCAATTATAAAACAGGATCATTTTGTAACTTTCTCACTAAATCAGATATTGATTATCACAAACTTCTTGTTGTCTCATAGGGTTGTTGCTTTCTGTTTGGCCCCTTCAAGTTTTCAGGGAATTCAGTGCTTGGGTAAGGTTTACCACTGTCCTAATATTTTAATTCTCCTTGCCCTTCTTTTCTCCTCATTTCACCTAATACCATATTTTCTATCTTTTCACTCATTCCTGCCACGTACTTTTGTCCTTGTGGCCAATCCATTATTTTCTCAGAGGCTCTACTTGGATTTATATGGAGGTGCCCTCTCTTCTGGGTCTGCTTCTCAGGCTTGCATCAGTCTGTAGTATTTCTTCATTCTGTTTGGCATTTTCTTCTATTTGCTTATGTCTCCGGCCTCTCTTTCTGGACTGAGGCTTTGTTCCTGTGTCAGATTCTGCTCTTGCATGGAATGAGTAGACTCTCCTTGGTCATGGATGTGGTTACTGAGAGTTCTGGCTTTCTACTGATGGATGACCTGGGGGTTGGGCTTGGCCCCTCTCTGCCTCCTTCTTGGATAGTATCAAACCTAGAGTTGCTCTCATCCCCCTTGTTGTGAATCTGACAGGACCCATACTGTAGTCTGTGCCTCCTGCAAGACCGCAAGTGCTTTGCTTCCTCGGTGCTGCCCTGGCTCTTTGTCCCAGTGTGGTTCTTCTATGGCTCAGACCATGGGCTTCATGGGTGCTGGCCTGCCTGGGTGCTGGCCTGCCTGGATGCTGAATCTGCATCCTGCTGTGGCTCAAGTGCAAGCTGCTGGAGTCGGGCCTGTCCCTGTCCCTTGCTTTGCCTCAGGTAGGGCTATCTGGTGCCAAGCCCCCTGGGCATGAGTCTAACCCTGAGTGAGGCATTGCTCTGTTGCTGTCTTATGCTTTCAGTGCCCACTGTTTGCAAGCCTTCTTTCCATCCACTGTGACCTGTCTCCATTCAGGCCTCCACAGGAATCTGACAATGTGTAGCCCTGGACTGGATGAAGGAGTTTATAGCTGTTTCTCTTTGGTTTTCTTTATCATTGAACCTACCACTGGGATGCTTGGGGAGTGGAGTGGGTAGGGATCTGGGCTCCTTTAGGTCCTAATGCAAAGTCATCTTTCCACAATTTTCTGCATCTTGTTCTTTTCCTATTTTTGATGAGTTTCAAAATCCCCATCAAACATTTTGAGGGCCAGTCATTATGCTGCTATTATGTTGTATATTTAGTTCTGTGGATCAGCACATATAGGATAAAAAGCTTGCGTACAATAATTGAAGAAAAGCATTGGGATGTAATTCATCTTCTGTAGACTTACTGAAAGCACCTGTAGGACAACTCCAGTGGCATATAGGGCAAGAGGAATGGTCTTCATCTCATCCTCTTCCCATGTGGTTTAAATTTCTTCCGCGAGGTCTCTATATGTTAAAAACAACAACAACAACTTCATTTCATGTAGTTTTGAGATTGTGAGTACTTAGTATAACAATATCTATTTAAAACTATTGTTCTTAATTAATGATAGCAGGCATTTATATAGCACTTTAAGATTTGCAAAGTGCTTCAGAAACAACTCATTTCATCCTCAACAACCCTAGGAGGTAGTTGCTATTATTATCCACATTTTGCAGATGAAAAGACTGAGGCAAATAGAGGTTAAGTTACTTGCCCAGGGTCACACAGTTTCTAGTAAGTGTCTGAGGCCTGATTTGAATTCAGGTCTTCCTGACTCCAGATCCAGCACTCTATCCACTAAACCATAAAAATGGAGTACATTTTTATGAATCAATGTTACATTGCCAACTGGGTGGCAGTGGATAGAGCATCTGACGTGAGGTCAGGACCTGAGTTCAAATCTGGCCTCAGACACTTAATAGCTGGGCTACCCTGGACAAGTCACTTAACCTCTATTTGCCTCAGTTTCCTCATCTATAAAATGCAGATAATAGCACCTATGTCCCAGGGTTATTGTAAGGGTCAAATAAGAAAATAATGTTAAAATGCTTAGCACAGTGCCTGGTACACAGTAAACACTATATAATTGCTAGTTATCAATATTATTATTATTATTATCATTATTATTATTATCATCTTTACAGAAATTTCTATCCCAGTAAAATCTATTTACTGAATTTTTTTTGGGGGGGGTGAGGCAATCGGATCCCAGGGTCACACAGCTAGTAAGTGTTAGGTGTCTGAGGCTGGATTCGAACTGACTCCAAGGCCAGAGCTCTATTCACTGAGCCACCTAGCTGCCCCTATTTACTGAATTCTTAAGGCTATTATCAAATTTGTATTTGTATTACAAGAATTTTTCATCTGCTCATTTTAGAGGACAGAGAGCTTCTGGTATGTGATTCTAGATGCCTAAACATGTCTTCATAGGTATCTGGTAAGCGCTACATTTTTGGTATCAGCAATGATTATATTGCATAGTTTCCACTATATCACTGTATGACTTGCATTAATCAATGAGAGCTCCTAAATTACCTTTCTGTATATATATGTTGGCAACAACCTAATCTTGTATCACTATCATAAATAAACCTCTGTTTCTATATCCAAATTTATATGATAGATATTTGTTCAATGTTTCTTTGTTGATATATTGTTAGTTAAGTGACATGTGGATTTCACTCATAGAATGCCTCTTGATTCTACTCTTGGATCTTAACTATTATCTAGATTTTGTTCAAGGATAAATCACTTTTAATTACACTCAATTATTGCTTTGGGACATGAGATGCTTAATTTTTCATTTGTTTATCATGGGTTCTTCTTCCTCACTAAGGAGGACCTGGCCATCTTTCTATAGCTACCTTGTCATGACAAACTTGTGTTTCTTAACATTAGGTCCCATTTGTTAGCCATTTTGCTGTACCAAATTATACCTTTCAACTGGTATTGTATAGCTGTTAATTGCTCTGTGTTATTCCATTAAGCTTTGACTTCAGGGTTCCAGGTAGCCTTTTAGTACACATAGCCTCAGCTGTGGAAGCTTTCATGCTCAGTAGGTCTTGTCCAAAGAAGAGCAAGTTATTTGTAAGTATTACCATCATCCCTTGGTTCAATTTGCTGTCCAGCTTCAAGTGCAAATCCTTCCTTGGAATGCATTAAGTGTAAAATACATTTACACTTTCCAAGTCCAAATGACATGTTGGAGACATAGCACTGGAGAAGCTCCTGTGAAATGAGGTAGTAAACTGTTTGATGTATTTTTCAGTAGATCTTTAACTAGATATAATATATGTATATCAAGTGGTTAATATAGTGCTTTGGTAAGATTCTCTCTTTGCCTTGCAAATCACACTTGGTTCTATTCAGAAGGGATGATAATGGTGTTAAGGCTAAGCATAGGCATAGGCCAGGCATAACCACAGCAAACTTAAACTGTCCTGGTGAGTATCATGTTTTATATTTTATGGGTCAGCTAACTATGGTCCAATGGCCAAATATCAGCCAGTGTCTATTTTTGCACAGTTAACAGAAAAGAATGGTTTTTACATTCTTAAATACAATAAAATTTTATTTCAACATGTAAAAATTATTCTTAGTTTATAGGCATGCAAAAATAGGTGGTTGGCCACATGTGGTCTGCAGGTCATATTTTGCAGACTTCTATTTTACATCTATTGTTCTTGACAGTATTCTGTTGTGGTGTGTTTTAAATAGTGCACAGATTTCCATGGGAACGTCAAATATTCTAGTGTTTCCCACTATGCTTATATCTCCAGTATTTTATATATTTGCTGTATATGACTAAGCCATGAGTGAGGAAATTAGGCAAAAGCTTTGTGATAATCAAAAAAGGTGGTATAAATATTATGGTGTTTTTCAGTGGCTAATTAAAAAATTATTGAATCATTTATAGCTGCTCTATACACCACTTTCTGATCAACGGTTTTGTTCCTTGGTGTTTCCTGTGTTTATAGATTTTATAAGTAATACAAACTTTGAATGATTTGTATAAAGTATATAAAAATGTAATTGGCTTCTATTCAGAAGTGTTCTTATATTTTGGTAATAAATATGTGATACCGTCTGTTAAGAAAGATGGAATGAGGCTTGCGTCAGAGAAAGCAGGTACTATTAAATCATGTGCTATTATGAAGCATTTGAGCCAATGATTAAGGATTTTTTCTGCTCCTGCCACTTTCTAGTTTTGCAGGAAAACCAAAATTTCAATAACTTCCCTCATGTAACCAATTCTGTTGCTTATTACATTCAAGCTACACCAACTTTTGTTTCATGTTTAATCCAAAACCTGTTTTTGTTTCTGTTGAACTTCTTTTACCAATCAGAAATTTCCCACTTTTTCCTTCTTAGGGAGTTTGCTCTCTTCTCTAATTTCTTTGCTTCTCAAGTTCTATAGTTTAGCTTTCATCTCTATATTATAGCATAGATTGATATTGAATTGTTTATCTCATTCTTTGGTCTTCAGCTCCTCCTATCACCTTGAACTTGCAGCTTTTGCCCTCACTTGGTGACAGAGACAGCTAGGTGGCATGGTAGATGAGCGCTGGCCTTAGTGTCCAAAACATAGCCTGCCTCAGGCATTTACAGACTCTGTGACACTTAGCAAGTCTTAACTACCCTGTTCCTCAGTTTCCTCATTTGCAAAATGAGTATATTAGTAGTACCTACCTCAAAGGGTTGTCATAAAGATTAAATAAGATTATATTTTTAAAGAGGTACATAAAGGTTAGTTATTGTTATTAATGACAGGTATCAAGAATTTCTGATATACATATATATATATATTTTTTTCTGGATTCCATTCTACTTATTTGTTTTTCATTGTATTAAATTGGGCAATGATATGGCATTCAAGTTTTCTACTGTACATAATGACTAGGTTCTGAGAAAGCTCTATGTTTCTGCCTATAATCCTTACTGTGGCAAGAGGCAGAGAATATACTTTTGTGTGCAGATTATAAATATTTTACTCTGTCAAATATTGTGGAAGAATATATTTAGTCATGATATTTATAGCATATACCATCTTTTATATATTTCCTTGTTTGGTATATTTGGTTTCTTTGTTAGATTCATGCCATCAAACTAAAAGGGACTTTTTTTTTTTTTGCCATTCCAGTCAAAGCAGAAAGGTGATGAAGTCAGAATGCTTAAGGCTTTTTTTCTTTTTTGGACATGACCAATACAAGAATTTCTTTTGGTTGATTATCCATATTTGTTACAAGTTTTGTTTTTCTTTGTTGTTGTTTTTTTCTAATTGGAAAGGCGGTGAGGAGAAATTTTTGTTCATTAAAAAAATAAAACTTAAAAAAAAATTCTAGTCAAAAGTATGCCTATCTTTCCAAAATCATTTGAGACATCATCATTAGTTTTAATCATCCATTTCATTCTTAGGTGGAACTTTTGGAATTTATCTTATGCAGATGTTCAATGCCTTTGGGTTCTTCCATTTTTTTCTTCTTTAGATTTAAATAACTTCTCAGTTTCTATTCTTATTTCATCTAGTCTAGATTTAAAAATGAAGTCATTTCTTACAATTGATCCTTAACTGATATATAGGGTATCCCAAAATTCTAAATGCAGTTTTAAGCTATTAAATAGTATTGTGTAACTTGGAATTCCAGATAGCAGTGAAAAAAAAAGCAATATAAAGTTCTTACAAAGATTTCTTTCCAATTTTGTTATAATATAGTCCTGGCATATAATAAAAGCATATCTTCAGTTTATTTCATGCTTACTTTTGATCATTTTAATAGTTAAAGCTATCTTGTGACAAAGCATTACGGTAAGGGTATTTCTTATCTGTTCTAAGTCTCTCCCTCCTCCAGTCAATCCTCCAGTCAACTATCAAATTGATCTTCCTAAAAGGCAGGTCTGTCCATGTCATCACCCATACCCCAATTCAATGAACTCCAGTGGTTCCCTGTTGCTTTCAAGATAAAATATAAAATCTTGTTTGGCTTTTAAAGCCCTTGATAACCTGATTCTTTCCTGCCTTTCCAATCTTCTTACATCTTTGCTACTTCCTGTGTGTGGTGCAGTTAAGTGACCCTGGCTCCTTGACTTCCCTCATACGTAATACTCCATCTCCTATCTGTGCATTTTTCCTGGCTGTCTCACGTGCCTGGAATTTTCTCACTCTTCATCTGCTTCTCTGGCTTCCTGCAAGTGCCAGCTAAAATCTTACCTTCTATAGTAAACCTTTCCCAGTTCCTGTTTATGCTAGTGCCTTCCCTCTATTGCTCATCTCCCATCTATCCTGTATGTAGCTTATTCGTACATAGTTGTTTACATGTTTTCTCCCCCATTACACAGTGAGCTCCTTGAAAGCAAGGGCTATGTTTTGGCCATCTTTGTATCCCCAGTGCTTAGCACAGTGCCTGGGACATAGAAGATGCTTAATTATTGCTTGTAGATTTGACTTGTCTTCCAAAGTACTTGA